ACGTTGATATATTAAATAGGTTGGGTTCGAATTGATTTATATAATACGAAGAACTCGAATTGAAGTTGATTAATTATATATATCATTCGCAATTTAATTATGCATTTTGCAATATAAAAGCTTATATGATGTATTGATTGTTTTAAATATTGTAGGTAAAGTGTTTTTTTTAATGAAAAGTTAAAGTGATAAATGATCGCGTTAAATAAGTCATAATTATATTAATTATTTATTAAATACATTAATTTAAATAAATTATACAGATTGACATAATTAATAAACGGATGGTATTTGAGTTTACATTTTTTAACACGCCTAATAAATAGTTATGTTCGTCTTGATTTTTTAAATAATTAATAAATTGGCTTACATGATTAGACCCAATAATATAAATTGCCACCTTTATCTTTATAGATCTATTTGTATCTTTTTCTTTTTTCCTTCTTCTCCCAAATCAATTAAACTTGTCAATTATAATAAAATTCAATTAAACTTTTAAGCTTTAAAGTTCCAAAAAATATATATATTGGGTTTTAAGTTTAAGATATAATTGAAACTTTTTCATAAATAATACGTAAATAGTGCAAATTGAAAAAAGAAATATATTTGAAAGTCAAAATTTTGGAATATAATTTATTTTTAAAATACTAGATAAATATTGCCATTGAAAAAGTTTAACGAGGCAAACTAGAAGTTACCCTATTTTTAAATAACCTTATTAATCATTTTTAATTTAACCAAAAAAATTAAAATATTTCACAAATAATAAAAATAAAAATTATTATATTAATTATTTACTTCAATTCCAAACATGTAAACATGTTATGCGTCGTAATTTTTTCAGGAAAAGAAAGTGATTGAATCGAAAACCTCAAAAAAGATGGTAAAAATAAAAGCAAATAAAAGGGGGACAAATTGTCACGAGGAAACACCCATCAAAATCATATTATATTGCAAGAAGCTCATCACATGCATAAAAATGCATTAATTTCTTTGAGGTTTCTTACCTCCTTATTTTTCTTTCTTTTCTTTTATTCTCTTTTGGGTCCCTAAGAATCAACTCATCAATGAGAACATGGAAATTTCATGTTCCATAAAGTCAAAGAAAAGCACAAGTTAGGTATAATAAAGCATAAAATTAAGTGATTGGCAATAAACTATGATGATGCATCATAGGGGTCATTATATTGAAGTATTGCCGAGATTATTGGAAATTGCTCATAAAACAAAGCTGGAAAGGTCAGAAATTGGGTTGTGGCTTTAATTTTGCTCTTAAGCAAAAGTGATGTTATCAGATATTAACTAATTGGTATATAGGGACAATCAATTGTCTCCCCATAAAGCAATCAAATTGAATCAAAGAAAATCATAATTAGACAAAATGAAACAACTAGAGTACAAAAAACACAATTATACATACCTTCTAGAAACTCCTTTTTTTTTTTGAAGGAAAAAAAATATCTTTTCATACAAGCCTGGCTTACATCCTCCGAAAGAAAGTATATTGGACGCGTTTATAACTTGTTTTAAAATAATTTTATTTTTTATATAAAAATAAAAATAAAAATATTTTCAATCTCATACAAAAATTATTTTTAAAAATATGTTTGATAGTTTTATCAAAAGATTATTTTCAGTGTAAAAAAACTCATTAATGTTTCTCTTTCTCTCTCTCTGCTTGAGAGAGGAGAAAATAAAAACAAAAAATGAAAAATAACTAAAAGTTATTTTTTATTTCTCTCTCATTTTATACTAAATTAAAAAATTATTTTTATTTTTATTTTTTATTATTATTACGCTAAATATTTTTTTGAAAATATTTTTTTTCCTTAAAAAAAACATGAAAAATAAAAATGGGATCAATTCTAAATACGGTTATTGCATTGGACTGTGCGATGCACTCAATAGGACAACCCATCATTCCTTATTTTATCCTAATCATTACACCAAATTGCAAGGCTAATCTTGTGAATTCACAATCTATCAAAATTGTAATTGGGACAGAAAGAGCCTCACAACAAAGTGGGCTGGTCAGCTCAAATCCCCAAGTGATTTTTATAGGTAAGCAGTAAGCAAAAAGCATGATTAACAACAATCAATACTAAACCAACTTTCACCAGCAAAAGCAAGTAAAGTTGGGATATTTGTCCAATTGTCCTCCTACTTAAACCCAAGCAACAAATACAATATTCAATGACTATTACTGGGCTATGCAAGTATCACGCACCTAATTACTAGGTTCAAAAGATGAATTCTTTAATAGGCTTTATGTACATAAAAACACAAAAACAAAAACAAAACTCAGTCAGTCATACACAGTATATTTTAATCAGACACCATTAAATTATCGTATTTTATCTTACGCTATTACTTAATTCCCCTGTTAAAAAGGAAAAATATAACGTGACATTTAATGATCACATCAAATACCCTGAAGACAATATGTTGAGTGAGGAAATACATAATTTTGAGAAACCGTGCATAATTAAGATTAAGCTAGTGGGTCCCACGAAATAAGAGCATGTAGATCTCATCAACCTACAGGTTACAATCTAGTTCACTATGTCAAAATTAAGAGTCCGTTTGGTTGGAGGATTCGTTTTCTGAATCGAATTATGATTCATGGTTTGTTACAGTATTTTCTCTCACAAAAAACACACGTAAATAAAAAATAATTCTAATCTCATGGTTCTAATTCATGAACCAAACGGGAAGTAAATCTAGTTCACTAATGCCTAAATTAAAATTCTATTTGGTTTATAACTTGAATTATAATTCAAAGGAGATTTTCTGGTACACATATGTATTGATAGGTCAGGTTTTTTTAATTGTTAGATCTGTATTGATTTTTAATTTTTTTTATACAGATTCAACAGTTAGAAAACTTGATCTACGGGTATGTTGACGTATTAAAAAATGTCTCATAATTCAAATCTTTTATTATAATTTTTTTTGTATAAATTTAAATTTCTACTTTTTTACTGAAACATACTAGTTATAACGAGTATAAATATCTCAATAATGAATTGGAAAATTTGCAAACCCATTAACAATAGAAGAAAAATTCAAAACAATTGTTATTGTACCATTGAATTGGTTATAATAACTAAATGAGAAAATAAGACAGATACCTCTCAGAATATATGTGTGTGGATTTTAATATCTTATTCTTAATTAATATCTCTTTTAATCAAATAATTATATTAATCAAGAGGGTGTTAAACTATTAATCAATAGTAAGAAGTAAAAATTTAAACTCATGTATTTTAAGAGTAAATTTAACAATTTTCTCTAACTAAATATTACTATTTAACTGTTAGGGTACAAAACACTTCAAGTTAATAGTTTCTAATCCTCAAAAAAAGAAAACCTAAAAGGAATGTGGAATTAAATCTTGAGTTGGTGTATTCGAACAAATTGAATATTGTGCAAACTCTGAAAATTGCTAATTTTGATTGTAATGAATTTGATGTTTTATTATATGTGTCTATTTAATTGTCTTTTCTCACGTATTTGTGAAAACTAACAAAGCAACTCTCTTCTTAACTCTCTGTATCGTGTTTTAAAATACCTCATAATTTTTTAAAACAGTTCAAAATATTTCATGATCTATAAAAAACAGATTAAATTACCCCCTCCATCCATTTGTGTACAAATTTAACGGGCACATGGTTAAAAATTAATTACGAATATTATATTCTAACTAAATTAATAAAAAATATTAAATACTAAAATAAAAAAGAAGTTAAAGAAAAACTAATTATTTGGCCCCGAGACTTGTCGTCCTCTCATTTCTCAGATGGCATCCCCCTCCGAATGACCCAGTCCACCACCCACCGACCCTCGCAAAAAAAAAAAAAAAAAAAAATGACACGGCAAGTTTGGGTAAGTTTAACGTAAATGAATAAAGATTTTTGGGCATTATTTTGAATTTAAATTGGTTCTGTTTGAGTAATTAAGAATTTTTAGTGTCGCTCCAATGGACGATTTCTCTTTCCTTTGGGAATCTTGTTTTCTGGGTGTCAACAGTTCAACATAGTGAGTCCAAATATCACACACACACTATCTCTCTCTCTATCTCTCTCTCTCTCTCTCTCTCTCTCTCTCTCTCTCCTCTCTCTCTCTCTCTCTCAAAAGTCTTCAAATCTCATTTTTCATATGAATTTCTTTGTGATCAATTGGTTTTATTATCGTTCTCTGCTCGCCAGCCTCAACGAATTGAATCCCATATGTTTGCGTGCTTCAGAAGATCCCCTCGATCTTGACGTTGATCGACTTATTCGCACGCAAATAAGGGCGTCAGGGCTTAGGTTGCACGGTCGTGAGGATGGTAGGGGTTGGTCGCAAAAGAGTGGGGACGAAAGGGCGATGGCCACCACGGCTACTACTACAAATTTGGGTTTTTTTTTTTTAAAAAAATCGAGTTTTTTTCTGTAGCTTAACTGATTTTCTTATTTTGGAGGTGTTTGAATAAGATTTTAATGGGATGTGTTTGAGCTTTTATTTTAGTCTGCACTTTAAGGGTCAAGAGGTAGAAGACTCTGTTTTTTTTTATTATTATTAGTTAATTTATTTTTTAATATTTTATCATTTTATAAATTTAATCAGAATTTAATACTTTTAGTTAATCTCCGTGCCATGCTGTCAGTAGATCAGTTAAAATTATAGACGAAGTTGATAGATGAAAAAATTTGATTTATTTTTTTTATATAAAGATCTCATTTATTTTATTAATTTAAATTTTTAATTTTATATAATAAATTTTTTTTTTAAAAATATAACATTTAATTTTTTTTATACAGTAAAAAACTATTCACAAAGTTAACAATATTAAAAAGTATTTTAAATCATTTTAAAAAATTAAGAGCATTTTAAAATAAAATACATAATTTAAAATAATTATGAAAATAATCCAATAATCAATTATGAATCGGCAAAACTCAATAACAGCAGAAGAAGGGAACAAAAAAAAAAAAAAGAAGAAAGAGAAAGTGCGTAACTGCTATCTCCCACCAAAAATGCTGTAACTCCACTCTTTTTTCAATTTCAGAACCGCCCTTTTTTCCCCCTTTCATTTATTTATTTATATTCTCTGCCACCCTCCTCTGTCCTAACCTCTCTCTCACTCATCCTCCCTAACTTTCTCTCTCTCGTTCTTCTGCCATGGAAGGGAAAAAAGCAAGAAATGCCGTCCTCTTCTTTTCCTTCCTCACCGCCACTCTCGCATCTCTCTCCTCTGCCTCCACACCCCCACTCGAATACGAGACCCTTCTTCTCACTTCTCTCCCGATCCCACAACAAACCCTCTCATGGCCCGATTCCGAATCCGAACTCACCGGGTCGGACTTAGAATCCGAGACGGCGGCGGCGGAGGAGACGGAGACAAGCCTTTCGATCTCGTCCGAATGACCCAGTCCACCACCCACCGACCCTCGCAAAAAAAAAAAAAAAAAAATGACACGGCAAGTTTGGGTAAGTTTAACGTAAATGAATAAAGATTTTTGGGCATTATTTTGAATTTAAATTGGTTCTGTTTGAGTAATTAAGAATTTTTAGTGTCGCTCCAATGGACGATTTCTCTTTCCTTTGGGAATCTTGTTTTCTGGGTGTCAACAGTTCAACATAGTGAGTCCAAATATCACACACACACTATCTCTCTCTCTATCTCTCTCTCTCTCTCTCTCTCTCTCTCTCTCTCTCCTCTCTCTCTCTCTCTCTCAAAAGTCTTCAAATCTCATTTTTCATATGAATTTCTTTGTGATCAATTGGTTTTATTATCGTTCTCTGCTCGCCAGCCTCAACGAATTGAATCCCATATGTTTGCGTGCTTCAGAAGATCCCCTCGATCTTGACGTTGATCGACTTATTCGCACGCAAATAAGGGCGTCAGGGCTTAGGTTGCACGGTCGTGAGGATGGTAGGGGTTGGTCGCAAAAGAGTGGGGACGAAAGGGCGATGGCCACCACGGCTACTACTACAAATTTGGGTTTTTTTTTTTTAAAAAAATCGAGTTTTTTTCTGTAGCTTAACTGATTTTCTTATTTTGGAGGTGTTTGAATAAGATTTTAATGGGATGTGTTTGAGCTTTTATTTTAGTCTGCACTTTAAGGGTCAAGAGGTAGAAGACTCTGTTTTTTTTTATTATTATTAGTTAATTTATTTTTTAATATTTTATCATTTTATAAATTTAATCAGAATTTAATACTTTTAGTTAATCTCCGTGCCATGCTGTCAGTAGATCAGTTAAAATTATAGACGAAGTTGATAGATGAAAAAATTTGATTTATTTTTTTTATATAAAGATCTCATTTATTTTATTAATTTAAATTTTTAATTTTATATAATAAATTTTTTTTTTAAAAATATAACATTTAATTTTTTTTATACAGTAAAAAACTATTCACAAAGTTAACAATATTAAAAAGTATTTTAAATCATTTTAAAAAATTAAGAGCATTTTAAAATAAAATACATAATTTAAAATAATTATGAAAATAATCCAATAATCAATTATGAATCGGCAAAACTCAATAACAGCAGAAGAAGGGAACAAAAAAAAAAAAAAGAAGAAAGAGAAAGTGCGTAACTGCTATCTCCCACCAAAAATGCTGTAACTCCACTCTTTTTTCAATTTCAGAACCGCCCTTTTTTCCCCCTTTCATTTATTTATTTATATTCTCTGCCACCCTCCTCTGTCCTAACCTCTCTCTCACTCATCCTCCCTAACTTTCTCTCTCTCGTTCTTCTGCCATGGAAGGGAAAAAAGCAAGAAATGCCGTCCTCTTCTTTTCCTTCCTCACCGCCACTCTCGCATCTCTCTCCTCTGCCTCCACACCCCCACTCGAATACGAGACCCTTCTTCTCACTTCTCTCCCGATCCCACAACAAACCCTCTCATGGCCCGATTCCGAATCCGAACTCACCGGGTCGGACTTAGAATCCGAGACGGCGGCGGCGGAGGAGACGGAGACAAGCCTTTCGATCTCGGCCCAGCTTCACCACATCGATGCCCTCTCCGCCGACAAGAGCCCCGAGCAGCTCTTCGACCTGCGTCTCCAGCGCGACGCGCTACGCGTAAAAAACCTCGTCGAGGTTACCGCCGCCGCCGCCTCCAGGAACGTGTCGCGCACGCGCGGCGCCGCGCCGGGGTTTAGTAGCTCCGTGATCTCCGGGCTCGCGCAGGGCAGCGGCGAGTACTTCACGCGCCTCGGCGTCGGGACCCCTCCGAGGTACGTATACATGGTTTTGGACACCGGAAGCGACGTCGTTTGGCTCCAGTGCGCCCCGTGTAGAAAATGCTACACACAGGCCGACCCGGTTTTCGATCCGAGTAAATCACGCTCCTTCGCTAGGATCTCCTGTGGGTCCCCCCTCTGCCGTAAGTTAGACTCACCCGGCTGTAACCAACGCAAGATGTGCCTCTACCAGGTGTCCTACGGCGACGGCTCCTTCACCACCGGGGAATTCTCCACCGAAACGCTGACGTTTCGGCGGACCAGAATCGGACGCGTGGCTCTCGGCTGCGGCCACGACAATGAGGGCCTCTTCGTCGGCGCCGCCGGTCTGTTGGGGCTCGGCCGGGGGAGGTTATCGTTCCCTTTCCAGACCGGCCTCCGGTTCAACCGGAAATTCTCCTACTGCCTCGCGGACCGGTCTGCGTCGTCCAAACCGTCCTCCATGGTTTTCGGCGACTCGGCCGTGTCTCGAACTGCCCGGTTCACGCCGCTACTCACCAACCCCAAGCTCGACACGTTCTACTACCTCGAACTCCTCGCCATCAGCGTCGGCGGGTCCCGTGTCCGCGGCATCTCCGCTTCCCTCTTCAAGCTCGACCAGGCGGGCAACGGCGGGGTCATCATCGACTCCGGTACCTCCGTCACCCGCTTGACTCGACCCGCTTACGTTGCGCTCCGAGACGCTTTCCGGGCCGGGTCGGTCAACTTGAAGCGGGCTCCAGAGTTCTCGCTTTTTGACACTTGCTACGATCTGTCCGGGAAGACGGAGGTGAAGGTTCCGACGGTCGTTCTGCACTTCCGCGGTGCTGACGTGTCGTTTCCGGCTACGAATTACCTGATCCCGGTGGATAGCTCGGGCACGTTCTGCTTCGCTTTCGCCGGGACGATGAGCGGGCTGTCCATTATCGGGAATATCCAGCAGCAAGGGTTTCGGGTCGTCTACGATTTGGCGGGTTCTCGGGTCGGGTTCGCTCCTCGTGGTTGCGCTTGATTTTTAAAAATTTTATTTTTCCTTTTTTGTGGGGGTAATGGCGGAGAAGTGCAAATTGGAAAAGCTCTTTCCTTTTCCTTTTTTTTTTTTTTTTGCTTTTAAGTTATATTTTATTTTAGTTTTTTTAGAAAAAGAAGAAAGGAAAAGTCTTTCTTGGATAAAAGAAAGATATTTAAAAAAAAAAAAAAAAAGAACAAAGAGAGTGTAGAAGAAGGGTAGGACTTCGAGTTTACAAGAAGGTTCAGTTGCTTCTTCTTGTTGTAATAGTATTTGCTCTGGTTGAGATTTCCAAGAATTACTGCTCTAATGCAGGGGTAATTTGGTCATTAGGCACTCGGAATTCTAGTACCGATGGTATTCTAACTGTCCAAATAATGATCAAAATCTATTTCAAGCCAAACAAAAGAAAATGAAATATTATATGGCGAGATTCCAATGTGATGCTTCACTTGTTTTATGACTGTGTTTGGACTTGGACTAGAGAGTAGTGTGCATAGACATACCAATAACCGATATCTGTCAATTTTTGCTATTGATTATGTGCTTTCGCCTTAAGCAAGAAGAGGACAAAAGAAGGGTTTTTTGCTCTTTGGGACGCGCAGAATCTTATGGCTTTAGGTCTTATTTACACCCATAAGAATAAGATTATGTTAGGACGTTGAAAGAGACATAACAAGAAAATAGGGAAGCATTTTGCATTTGGCCTCGAGCGCTTGAGCCACAAATGTGCTACGTACTGTACGGATTAATGGAAATCAAAATATGGTCACTCACTTTATAAATTATGTTGCCTTGAAAACCAATCACATACCTTTTTTAGAAAAAAAAAAAATTTAAGCTCTTATGATAGAGATCTCTGAATATTAGATCCCATTATAAAAGAATGAAATAATATAGAAAATTGACAGAATTTGATACGATGCATTAAAATAAAACCAACCTACTAGTGCCTTCAAAAAAAATTTTAAAAAACCTAATACTAAAAGATTATTATAATACAGAAATTGACATATTTGATACGATGATTTAAAATAAAAATTACTTATAAACCTTATATTTTATTTTTATTTTCTTTACCATTTTCTATTAGGGTATTTTGACAATCCACAATTGAACGTACTGTACGATTTAATGAAAATCAATTTGGAGATATTTTGACCAACAATTTTTGTGAAATAGTTTTGTGATATTTTGACAACCGGACATTGAGTGACTGACTTTTACTGGTGAGGCTCCACCAAGTTTTTACTCCCCGGAGTACGGTTTTTATGAACTCTTATCTTGACTTATAAATTGTGTGATCTAACACTTCAATGTCCGCGTACCAAGACAAACGACCATTACTACACAACAAAGTCTCCAATAAATACTTAACACGATGAGTGAGCCTTTGAGGGCACATGCTAGTGAGTGAGCACATGACGCGGCCCAGAAGCGGCAAAGTCAAAAGATGTGGGCGCCAACGGCAAAGGGAGCAAGTGAAATTGTGCCAAAAGTGAAGAAGATATTAAATTCTCACCTTTACATACACCAATGATACGTGAAAACATCTAACTGTAATTCTTGTTGTTTTTCGTATAATATCATTTGTAAATTCATGTAGTATTCATTGTATTTAAGTATAGCACGTCTATTGTCGTGTTATATTAAAGTTATTTCGGCATTAATATATATGAGTTTTTTTTTGGTACTGACGTATTAATACGTCAAATTTTTTTAATTATTAAATTTATATTTTTTTTAATTTTTACGTGATTTTTTATAGTATGTTGTATCAAATAACCTTTAACATATTACACCAAAAAATTATAAATTCATACAAAAAATATTATATTTACCGTTCCATACGGCCACCGACTTATGACCTTGCCTGTGCATATTCATGGTAAATAACGTTATTCTGTTAGATCTCAGGATACGGAACAAATAAGCACTTAAAAGATGAATATGAATGGAGTTTTGGGTTGGGGAAAAAAAAAAAATCCACAAAATTTACCAAGAGAAAAGAAAATGGAGAAAACGACAAAGGAAGATAGATTTTCTTCTAGATCAGATGCATTGGGTGAAAGAACTTGCTTGGGAAAAGTCAGACCAAACAAAATTATTTGGTTTAATTGATCCGGAAACGAATTTGGGCGTATTTTGGTATAATGCATGATGTTGTGTAGTGTGGACAGTGTTCAAAAGATCTTGGACATGAGTTTCTATTATGCTTGTCAAAAGTTGGACCAGAAGTTAATAATTAATCTCACGAAGATTAGGAGATGCTAACCACTCCCGATATGTCTTATTTGTTTATTGAAGACAAGAACCTACATCCTTTCCCTACTCCATGTGCTCAGAATAATCAGTTTGTATTTTCTTAATTTAGTCAACAACTAAAAGTCTAGGATCCACCCATTCATAATGATGAATCAACATGTACATATCATTTTTTAAAGGCTTATTTGCCAACACATGTTTCTCAATTATAATGTTCTTCTATATTATTTTTTCTGGTAGTAATTTTTATAACCTGCCACCAAAAATAAATTTACCTCACGGTTAACATTATATGGTGGTTTTCACGGTGGCGGTGGCATGATGATAATGACGTTTTACTTGGAGCCTTTCGTTTTATCCGTCTAAAGTTCAAGTCGTGTCCTTATCATCTCAAGGATAGTTTATATATGGCTTCGTTCACATCGCAGATTCGAGTTTAGTTGAGGTGTGATATTTTTTAAGAGCTTTTTACTGTAACAGAAAAATTTAAATGTGATATTTTCTGAGAATTTTTTACTGTAGAAACCTAAAATTAAAAACTTGAATCGGTGAAATAAACAATGCCATAATTTCGTTTTGAATCCTTTTTATTTATTTATTTAAAAAGACACTGTAGGGTATTCCTGATGTTTAACAATCTAAAAATAGCGGCCAACCAAATAAATCCCCTTGCATATTTCAATTTTTCTATTTTTTCACTCAATAATTCTAGTACTATTGTACACAAGTCATTTCATGATCTAGCCTAATATACATATTTATACACACACACATATACATATATATGGAAAAAGCATAAAATTTAGCATTGGATACTCGGGCTGCATAGTAATTATTAAATTTTGTCCACCCAAAATTAATATATCCAAAACTCAAGTAAGCATGAACATTCCAAGCAAAGTGTTCCATTATTGTCACCGCAGGAAATGACACAACACACAACTTTTCAATCCAATAATTCACGATCCAATTCCATTATAGAGTTTTTATCGCACTTTAGAATTTGCAGATCTGTAGCTCACGAATGTACAATGGATATTGTCGCATTTTGTATGTTAGTGAATTTCTTTCTTTTTTTTTTTTGCTTGTTTTTTTTCTCTTGTTTCAATTATCATATTTTTGTTTTCTTGCAAAGGTTACCAGTTGACAATCTGCGTCGGTGGAATTAATCCCAATCTAACGACAAATAATAATAATAATAATAATTTCTAGTTTTTTTATCCGTATGCAGTACTTGCAAAAGCACCAAACCTGAACCCTTTGTAAGAAAGAGAGCTCGAATTGTGCTTTTATAAGGAGCTTTTTTAAGAGTGCTGATTTTATTTTGAAACAACTTCCTTTTGCTTTGTCTCTTGGGCCAATTTTCAGATCTTTTTCTCAAAGAGAACTCTGAAAGTAGATTTCTTTGGGAACACCATTACTTACGTTAATGGCACTCGGCAGCGGCGGAGGGAGGTGAGGCCCGGGGGGCATATGTCCCCCTGGATTTTTGATATTTAAATTTAAGTATATGTTTTTCTCAAAACTTTTTTATATATGCTCTTCTTATTATTAGGAGAAGAAAAGAATGTTTTCTAAAGAATTGAGAGACTGAATTCTATTACCCAATTGTATGTACAGTATTGCTTCTAACTAATCAAAATCATATCCACTCAGATTCTTACACGTGTACATAAGCTCTAACAGTAAGCTCTAACAAACTCCCCCCCCAAACTCAATGTTGAAAGACTTTTGAGTTTGAATCGAAGATCTGGGAACTTTGAACTGGAGATGGGTTTCGTAAGAACATCAGTTGCCTGATCCACAGCAGGGACATGCTTGACTTCGATCAATTTCTGAAGGGCCTTTTCTCGAACAAAATAAGCTCTACATGTTTTGTTCTGACATGCAAAACAGGATTGGCAGCAAGCTGAACTGTACTGAGATTATCACACCAAACCACTGGTCTGCCTTGTATCTCAACTCTAAGCTCCTTCAGTAAAGACATCAACCAAGTGATTTCTACCACCACATTTGCTAAGCTCCTATACTCAGCCTCCGTGGAGGACTTGGACACTGTATGTTGTTTCTTTGAGCTCCAAGAAACAATGTTAGACCTTAAATAAATAACCAGAGGTAGACCTTATGTCATCAGGATCAGACACCCAATCAGCATCATAGAAGGCCACTAAATCAAGCGTACTCGATTTCGACAAATGAAGACCAAAGTCGAGTGTACCTTTCAAGTATCTTAGAATTTGTTTGACAGCTTGCCAATGAGACTCAAGAGGCTTATGCATAAACTGACAGACACGATTAACCGAATAGGACAATTCAAGTCTTGTGATGGTTACATACTGTAGGGCACCAACAATGCTCCTATACAAGTGAGGATCCGACACATCACACTGCCAAAGCCTGAAAGTCTGAAACCTGTTGTCATTGGAGTTCCAGTAGCCTTAGCATTCTGTATTTTAGCTTTACAAAGCAGATCTATAACATATTTCTTTTGAGAGAGATGAATACTATCATTGGCATGAGTAACTTGAATTCCCAAGAAATAGTTCACAACTCTCATATCCTTCAAGGCAAAAAGACCATGCAGTTGCACAATGAGTTGTTAAACCACATCACTGTCACTACCAGTGAGTCAAATATCATCAACATACACTAGTACAAAAGTGACATGTTGAGAGTGAAACCACATAAACAAGGATTGATCCGATTTGGAGGAAACAAAACCCAAAGTGAGAAGAGCACTCCTTAACTTATCAAACCAGGCTCTAGGAGCTTGTTTCAGACCATAAAGAGACTTGTGAAGGCGACAAACAAAATGGGGGTTTTACAGGGTCTTCAAATCCTTGTGGTTGAGTCATATAAA